TTATACTAGATTTGTGAATGAGAAAGGAATGATCTTAGTTATTTTTGTTTAGATAAACAGCCAATTATATTCTCTGAAAATGACTACCAGTGCAAATTTCAGAAATTCAAATGCTTAAAGGGTACTAAAGAATCCATCTTTATTAATACTGTCTTCCCAATCAGAAGTACCGCCCTGGAACTGAGAGGTTAGCAAAGAAATGGTTGTCGCAATGCACACTTGAAGGGCCAGATGCTTCAGCTGACCGGGATTACATAGACGTTGGGCTGAACTACGAAATGGTTGTCGGTAAAAAGCCTACTTTGTCGAAAATAGTGCGCAAATGGATCAAAGAACGAAAAAATTATGTCTATGCCAATAACACCTGCACAGGCAATTGCGACCATTACACTCGGGTGAGTTAGCTACGTTTGTCCATAATTTAGTCTACATGTTTGGCATCAAATTGTAACGCACTAAGTTACCTTACTAAGAATACTTGTTGAAAAAAAAACGTAATTTTTGTTGACGTGCCTCTCACTATTGAATGTGACCATTTGTTGCTTTACAGATGGTGTGGGGATGGACCAGTCTTCTGGGCTGTGCAATAAATCGTTGTGACAACCTACAAACTAATCCACGCAAACCGGTTCATCTTGTGGGTTGTATGTACGAAGCAAGGTGAGTCTGTTTTCTTGAGCCCTGATTGTGGCACCGCACAGTAATTGGTTATCTCGTTCGCAAAACCCACATTTATTATCATACATTTCAGTGGAAACTATCGTAATGGAAAGCCGTATACTGAAGACCCCAGCTGTAGTCGGTCTTCGAGCGAACATCGTTGTAATCGAAACCAATGTTCGAGATATTGAGCTCTCCGGAGATCCAGCGCCATCTTCTTCTAATATTATGACTCGGAAACACTTGAATCGCTATTCCTTCCTTATCCTCAAAACTTTTTCTAATGTAAAATATTTCTGATTTAAGCATTATGCATCACGTATCTGACGCTAAAACGTCACATTATTTCATTGGAATATAAGCAGTTTTACAAAAATGTCATCTTTTTCCAACTTTGTATCTGCTTTGTTACATCTATGTTTCTCTTGGTAAATCGAACATGAGCATTCTTTTTAAGGAAAATCTACTTTGATAATTTATAATAAATGTAGAATTCCAAACCCTGATTTTTTACTCTTTTATATAAAGCCATTTATTAGCCCTACGCATTTTCAATACTTCCAGCTCAAATAATTTTTGAGATGAAATCTGGA